GGTTTGAATGCATGAATGTGCGTATCTAGTTGATTTCATTACTTCTATAGCTTTGATTGCATTTGGGTAAGTAGCCCTAATAGTCACTACTAGCCTACTTGAGCTTCTACGTTGGGTATGAAGTTTTAGGGTTAGACGGGTATGCGCCATCAAGAAAATTAGGGTTAGATGAATGAATAGGATCTTATGGTGGACGAGGCGACCGTACCTCTGTCATAAAAATGCCTTCGTAGATAGAACCCGAGATGAAACCTCGTTGTGGACGGTGGGTAGTACCCATTGAAATGTGCTATGTTCTTAATGCCTCAGATACGATAACTTAGATCGAGGTGACCGACATGGGTTTAAGAGAGGCGTACTTGAAGGCGTGTGGATAACCACGAAATCCCATGGAGAAGAGCTCACTCACCACATTCGCTAAACCAAACCTATTTTGACATTGCATAGTAGACCTAGACCAGGGCGAGGGAATTACCCCAAGTACCTCTTCTCATCTATCGATCTTTAGTTTAGGGATCGTCAACATCCCACTTGATAAACAATAGGTTGACTAGATAATGATCAAGCCTAAGTAGCATAGGACACCGCGACCCTTGGAATATGACCGAGCTGTTTTATTACTTCCCTAGCTAGGTTATACTTGGCCTTGTTAGGATTGACTAGTGAGTGCTTTTCGACTTTATGAATTTAAAGCTCGATCGAAGCAACGATCAACAAAGCAAACCCAAAATTCTCAATACTCAATCGAGTCAACCTGCCTCTAATAGAAACAAGATGCATTCAGATAGTCAAACACATAAACCATGGCAATGTGATCATACAAAACTCACCCACTTGACTCAAATGCTCAAACAAAAAGAGGAAACTAAGGAAAATAAATACAAACCGACATTGGGCTTCCTCCCAACCAGTGCTTGTTTTACGTCATTAGCTAGACGCTTTGGATCATCATTCTTATGAGCATGAGTCCTCCGAGAGTGGATCCGAAACACTCCAGGGCGAGGGTTTTCACCTTTAATCGCCTCTTCTGAAGGGTAGCCTTCTTGGCCGCTTGCCTTTGCCTTTCCCTTTTCCTTCTTTCAAGCCAAGGCATGGGTCATCTATTGCCGCCATGCCTTTTTCTTCACCTTGGGTTCAGCACCCGCTTTAGGATCCTGCTTCGCATTGTCAACAACACAAGGAGCACTAGTGGGGTTTCCCTTGGAAGGCTCACCTCCACTAACCAATACACCATTCGAGTCTAACTCTTTAGCATTATCAAGTTTATCCCTAGGATCAATCGAAAAATTGATTTCCTCCTCACCATCTCCCAGAACTAGTGTACCCTCATTACATCTATTAGAGCCTTGGCGGTGACAAGGAAGGGGCGTCCTAGGATAAGGGACATATCTTCATCCTCACTACTATCAAGGACAATGAAATCCGTTGGATAGTAGAAAGTTCCCATCCATGCTAGGACGTCCTCCACCATGCCTCTAAGACTAATCACAAAAAGGTCATCCAAAGTAACACTCAACCTAGTGGATTTTAGTTCACCTAGGTCTAGTTTCTTATAAATTTTATATGGTGCTTGCTCCTAAATCCGCCAAGGATTTCTCTATATGACATGATCCCATGCAAAGGGGGATACTAAAGCTACCTTGATGTTGAGGAAAGTGGCCCCTCTCTTCTAGATCCTCCTCATCCTTCTTCTCCTTCCTTCAGCTTCTCTCTCTCTCTCTCTCTCTCTCTCTCTCTCTCTCTAACCAGAAATTTCTATCTCAAAATCAACTCACTTAAATGGGGGAAGGGATTCTTCTATTTATAGCCTTTAGAAGACGGACAAGTTCACGGTCAGCCAGTGTGAAGATTGCGGCCGTGATCTTCTTCCTTGAGACCGCAATCTGTCGACGCCACTGTTTTGTCTTTCAAACGCGGGGGGTTCGTGGGCTGACTTCATGGTCGCGATTCGTGAAGCGCGACCGCGAACTTCCTCGCGATTAGGGTGAACTCTGGCTGTGATCAGACTAGGGGAACTCTATGTTTCTCCTCTGCTGGCTTCTTCAGGAAGTTCACGCACGAAGCCTCCAGATTCACGACCACAATCTTGGGCTCTCAGGTCGCGATCTTCACCTTGATATCACAGTTTGCTTTCTCGGCCGTGATCTCCTTGTCCATGCTATGATCATCAGCTTCCTGCCCATTTTGCTACACTGTGTCCCTTTTCGTACCTAATTCGCATGTATTGTCTAAAGAACCCTAAAATCACATCATAATAAAATAGGAACGGAATAGGGATTTAATTGATGATATTCTAACAATTATGCACATGAATTAGCACGAAACAAACCTAGACATGAAGGGTAAATAACACCAATTTGGGGGCTATCATACTCCCCCACGAGTTTGCTTGTTCCCAAATGCAACTTGATAAACAAATCAAGGTGGGATGTACTCTAGTTCTTCATTGCATAAAGAAGAGTAGACGGAGATGAATGAAAATTACTATCATCTTACTGTGCCTCCACAAAATCTTGGGTGAGGACCATACTTACTACCTTAGGCAAACATTCGATCATCAAATAGGCACAAGAACTCTCGAGGTTGATCTTTATTCTTTCTTTCGATTTAGGAGTTACCATTTCTTGGTCTCCATTTTCTATGTTGAAGCGCATTGCACCAATCTTTTGAAAACTCTTTTGCAAATAAGCATCTCTCTCACACGACCAAGAGTGGATGGATCATTGCCTTCCCTTTCAAGGTCACATATGGGGAAGTTGAAGGGCAGATTCGTCTTAGCCCGAGCACCTCTTCCCATCCTGCACTCAACATTGGGTTGCTACACATGTTGGGTACAAAACAAGGGCTTTGAGGTCTCTTGACTCGCTAAAAGTAGGGCTGGGAATCTAGACCAAACCGTATGGGGAACCGCGGTCTAGAACGTATCGTATGGTTTGGTCTGGACCGTGAGACCATAACTATGGTGTGGTCTGGTTTGCGGTTTCCTCCTTTAGTGTGTGGTCTGAAGTGGTCTGGACCGCGGTCTACAGCAGTAAACCGTAATAGATGGCGGCATACTACTTACTAACTTGGACAAAAATAACACTAAATTAAACCTCCATTTGTGTATTTGAAGAACAAAGTTAGTTGATTCTTCATCCAGTTGAGAACCAACAAATTGCCCAAATGGTTGCTTATACGTCATCACGTTATCAAAGAACCACACAAAAACCAGAAGATTCATAAATAATATTCACTGACAATGTCTACACTATGGAGTCGATAAAACATAAACAGTAGAAAAATTCATTCACCTTGAAGAGATAAGGAAAATTATTGAGAGATAAGCGACCATCTTAGTGGTTCAAAACAAACTCAACATTATCACAATGGTTATCAACTGCGAGAACCTTCGGATCACTCGAGAGAGGGAGAGAAGCGGTAGCAGAAAGAGTAATAGGGAAACAATGTTATTTGATGTGTGTGTTTTTTAAGGGATACTGGATAGAGCCGTGGAGGCTAGAGTGAGAGTTTGAAAATTGAAAAAATCAACTTATATCCTCATATATTTCTTCTCATTTAATTACGGTTACAATTTTTTTTTGTTTCACTAGCATATTGGTCACTGGAATTTATATTTTTACAGATACCGGTGAAGGGTTGGAGGGCGGAACAAGTGAATTTTTTTTAACATGGTCTGCTTGGTCCAGACCGTACCGGACCGCACCGTACATGCGTGGTCTGGACCGTATAGTATATGGTCTGGTCCATGGTCCGTGTTTCAACCTCTCGGTTTGTTCCAACCTCTCGGTCTGGTCTGGTCCAGACCGCACCATTTCCCACCCCTAGCTAAAAGGGACTTTGTATCTTGGCATACAAATTCGTGAGGAGGAAAAATGTTTGGGGTATGGTAAGTAGTGAGAGATGGTCGGTGCACGGTAAAGTTATCCAATCCCCAAACATATCCTCAAAGGGCACTCCGAACCTTGAGGGTCGGTTGCCTCTCACGTGAGAACCTCATTTTTAAAGATTTTGAGTTAAAAAATGATAGAGAATCTCGCACACATGTTCTTCCTAAAATAGCAGACATTATCAACTCACCAAAGAGGAAGAAGAGAGTAAAATCCCTCATACACCGCTATTCTAATCATGCAACTACTCCCTAGCGAGAATAACACATCAATCATCTGTCAATTCAAAGCATATCGAGTAGGGGATTGCACGGAAAAAGGTGTTTTGGAACCATGAAATTTGAAAAAATTTGGGTCATGCATTCAAGGTTACAAAACACTATCCTTTGGCCACTCAACACCACAAACACACAAAAGCGATGGCATACACTCCCATAAGCATTCATCAAAGTCTTACATTCATAAACAAGGGAGGATACTAGTAATTCATGGCTTAATAAATCATAAAAATCATTCAAGCATTCACACACATCCCCCCACACTTGAGCAACGGATTGTCCTCAATATGCGAGATTCAATAGAGAAGATCACGAAGGTTACCATAGGTCGGGTTGGTGAAGGTACACAAGTGTACGTCTTGGTCTTCCTAGTGTTTTTTGCAACGATAAAGCACATAAGAAAGAGAGGAGATGATTAAGAGTTATAGGTATGATAAATAGATCATGTAAGTATAATTACTTCTAGTACTAGAATATGTAAAGTACGAAAAGTAAAACGAAAAAACGATAATTAAACATTTTTTCCGGTAGTTGATAATTAAACATTGTTTTAAGGTAAAAGAAAGAAAATCAAAGAAAAAGAAAAGATAGAACTTAGGCCCTAGATGCCTGGTACTCAATCTTCCTCGGAGATGTCATTGAGGTGGCCTTCATATACAAGCTGGTCGCCATCCGATGAGGGTGAAAGAGGGAACTTTTGCTATATCTTTCCTTGGTCCATATGCATTTTTCTCATTATCATGTGGACCGCCCCCAAGAGGTGGCGTCTAGACTTCCTCTCACGCCTTAGAAGGAAACGAACCTCCCTTTGATCCTCAATAATCTTAGAGTTCTACTCGATTAGCTTGGCATTATGCTCAATAAGAGTGGCTATCTGCAATGCTTGGGTGCCAGATGATGACTTCCCCGTTCCCACAAAGGAAGCCGACTGTGACTCTTCAAATGGACGTCTGAGTGGTTGAGCAGCTATTCCCTTGATGGTTTTTCTTCCTTTAGCACCTCTAGAAGTTTCATCTTGGATAAGTGATCCACGGAGAATACTTGAGTGGCAGATGATCGTACAGTTGCAGTCCTCCAGGTTTTTCCCAAAATATCTTGCAAGATGAGTGATAAATGCTCCACCATGGATAGTCTTAACTGTCACATTCGTAATGTTTTTGTAGAGAGTCTTGAGGATGACCAATCCAAGATTAAGATGAGGCTTAACGAGCATTGATCTCAAAATATTTGGATCTCTCTTTGTCAAGTTGCTAGCACTTTTTTCCTTCGAGGCAACCGTGTAAGAGATGACGTTGTGGAGGATGCGCCATTATGCTTTCAAGGAGGTCCTTTTAGTGGATTTTGGGTCAAAGGGTGTGATTCGGGTCCAATTGTACACATTTTACCTCTCATTTCTTGATAGTTTGGCTTTGCATTTCATCATCCCTCAACATAATTCACACTAGGTTGTGCTTTTTTTGATACATTTCAGGTCCTAGCACGTGTGGAAGGGTCGAGGACGAGTTTTGGGACGATTGGAGGTCAAAAAGCGCAAAAAATCGTGACAGTGAAGCGCAGGCGTCTAAGAATCAGCTGCAGTTCACGGCCTGGCATTGGAGTACACGACCTCTATGGCCGTGAACTGGATCCACAAACCATGAACAGCGAGGCATCCAGGAGGTTTAAGAGGTTATTGACGATTAGGGAGTTCATGGTCTCTAAGACCGTGAACTTTGAGTGCAAACCTTGAACTCTGGAGAGTGGAGCGGTGTGTTTTGGAGATGACATTAAGTTCTCAGACGCGTTTAGGTGTTCACGGCCGTGAACTCAACTTGATCTCAGTATAAAGGGAAAGCTGAAAGGAAGAACAAGGAGGGGAGCTTCATTTTTAGGTTAGGTTTTCTTTTTTCAGAATAAAGAGGATTCTAGTGAGAGGTTAGGGTTTCTTCTAGAGTGAGAAAGTGCAAATCAAAGGAGGAAGAAGGAGCTTTGGGATTGTTCCTAGCTAGAGGAATGAAGATTTCTTCATCTCAAGGGTGTCTCAAGTAACAAGGAGGAAATATTGGCATCACTTCATGGTTCTTTCTTCCCCTTTTGTTGTTTTCTCTTGTCTAGCAATGGAATAGCCTACCTACTCACTTGGGTATTGTGAATCCTAGTCTCTCTATGTGTTAGGATGTAAGAACATGAACCTATTGTGTTGAATGAGTGTTTTATATGATATTTGAGGTATTATTCATGAATGATTGAGTGTGCTAGCTTTAACTCAATATTGGGTAAAATTGACCTAGAGGATGGAAATCCCTTTTGGTCCAATAGGAAGCTAGACTTCTTAGCCACTTGGGTAACCTCCTTTAGGTCGATTTAAGACCAAAATCTCAAGTATCGGATTAGGGTTGTGATTCCACTGGGATTGGTCTCACCGCCGACCGGATTAAGTTCCGAGGGTTTGGTTTTCAATCCTTAGTTGGTTAGTCGAGACGGTTAGGTTTCCTACCCTATCGTTGTCACCCTTAGCCAAAAGGTTAAGCGAGTTAGCTTTCTAACTTGTTGCAACGATTCTCAATTAGCTAACTACGAGAGTTAGGGATCTCCTTGGTTGATCGGTGAAGAGGGCTAGGTTCCCTAGCCATGAATCACAAGTCTTAACCTAACGGTTAAGAGAGCTAGTTCTCCTAGCTTATATTTGTTGATTTTCCTTCATTAATTGACTAAGGGAGTTTGTCCCTTGCTAGTTGCACCCACCTCGCGGTGTATGAACACGTCCTTCACACTAGAGCTTTGTTTGTCGCTTCTTAGCATGAGACTAGGGGGAGCAATACCCAGGTGAAGTCCCATCAAGTAGAATTCTCCTCCATTTACTTTCCTTGATTGTTTGTTTGTAGTTTTATTAGTTTTAAACCCAAAAATTGTTATGCTAGATAACAACTTAAGTGATTGAAGTAGGGATACATGGACCGGCCCGGGTTTAGCAATTAAATACTTGCCCTATACTGCACCCGGCTAGAGTTTAAAAACTTGGCCGGGCTCTAGTCAGGATTAATTCGCGGTGTAGTTTAACAATTGAATAAGATCTTGAATGGGTGTGGCGGCCCCAAATTCCTCCAAATTCTCCTAAGGGATGCAACGATGTTCCACATAGGTTCGTGAAGCAAAGTGTGCATATTGGCCTTGTCTTTGTCTCCAAATTCAAGATACAGATGGGGTGCCCTCTTACCACCCTTGATTGAGGTTGATGCTCGAGAATCTTTGTCAACTTGCCCTTCCTTACACAAAAACTAGATACAAATCTTATTAGTGCAAAGATAGGAAGTGAGTTAATAACGTTGGAAGATCAAGATCATAAGAGGGTAGAGTAAAGGATATCATAAAAGAAAATCATCACAATAAGGAATGCAAGATAGAAAAATATGCCATAGAGTTCCTTAGCAAACTTTTTGTTCACTTAGACATTTGATCGAGCACCTTGTGGGCATAAAATGAAAACAACTTGTGGAAAAGAAATTCCACCAAAGAATATCATCAAAGAAGAGCAAAGAATCATCTACCCATCAAAGTCACCCCAGGCCCAATAGCACGATAGAAAAGAACAAGAGAGCATCTTGCCACAAATCACATTAGGCTCATGTCAAGGTAGGAACCCAAGAAGGAATCCCAATATTAATCTTAAGATTAAGTCAAGACCACTAACCTTTGATAAGTGAATAATTGCAAATGTGCTACCTTGAATCAACTCTACTCAAATTGACAAAAAAAATCACTCCCTTAGTTATCTGATGTGTATGCTGAAAAGCCATGCTACAAGGGAACATATGAAAAGGGATAAAGAGTAGGGATAAGGAGAGCAAAAATCGCACAGCCCATCAGTTGGGGTTTTTCCACCCGAGCGTAGGCAAGTTCGCGGGCTAGTACAGCTAGATTGCAACCGCGAACTTTTTCATGGCGGCCACGATCTTAAGAGCTCTGCTTCTACAATTTTTCTAAAATGTTAACGCAAAATCAGAGGTTTAGTGTACTGTCCTATGATACCTAGTCTAAGCGGTTTTAGAAAAGTACTGTTTAAAAGGATAAGGTAGATGAAAAACAAACCAAAGCGTTGGGGTACCTCCCAACAAGTGCGTCTTAGAAGTCTTTGTGTCGGACTCTTTGATCACAAGAGATCATCGGGTGGAAGAGGGAGCATCTATCTCACCCTGGGTGGTGTCATCAACAACACCCTTATGGTGAAGGCCTAAGTGTAGACTAGGAAGCCTTTCGGTGCTCCCCTCGACTAACGACCCCGAAGATAGATTCATTGTGGCATCATGGTTAGGGGTTGAAGATTGGGTGGTTTTCTTAAAAACCCTTTTAAGGATTCGATCAGTCGACATCACTTCTTTTAGGAGGTACCTCCTTGCTTGTTCAAGGATGTTGTGCTAGTGTGGGATCCAAAATCAGTTTATGCGAAGGTATTTAAGTAGTCAGAAGATTTAATCCTGTGTACAAAGCGAACTAAGGCGAAACTCCTTGTCTATCATTGGAGAGATGTATGGCCAACCTATCTTCTCGGTACTCCATGATTATTCGCCTTTCCAGGACCTCAATTATAGATCTAGTGGTTGCCAAGAAAGTTTTTCCAAGAAAAATACGAGTTGGAGCTCTTGGTTCCACATCCACCACTGCAAAGTCCACCGGATAAACAAACGTCCCAACTCTTACCAAAAGATCCTCTATGATCCCCTTGGGGTAAGATATTGACTTATCGGCTAGTTGTATGGCCATGTCCATCGGCCTCAGGTCCTACATCCTCAATTCTCGATACAAGTCGAAGCTCATCACATTGTAACCCTTTTAATAGAGCATGGTATGCAGAACAAGCACATGTCGTCTCTCTCGATTGGGACCTCATGATGAATGAACACCGCATACGCTTTCCTTATGTCAACAATAGAAGGATCGGCAAATTCCCATTTAGTTGCCACCAAATGCTCTATGCGTTCGACATACTTGGCGAGCTCTGAGGTTTCTTGGATGACCGGAATAACTAATAAAACTTCTCGGGACACGCCCTCCTTCTTCTCTTGATCAAACTTAACATTTGGGTTAACAGTTATGGGCTCCGGGTTAATTGTCAATTTGCTCTTTGGTGACGGAACATGCTTCCCTTCAGGTTTTTGTTGTCCTTCCCTTATAATCTTCTCTATGAGACCAACTAAGGTAGACATAACCTTTAGAGTGTCCACGACCACTTTGTTCTCTGCCCTCAAGGAGTCCACTTGTGCTTTAAAGGCATGAACAAATCGATTGAAATTGTTCATCCGTTGATGACAAATTGAAACCCAATCCGAAACTCTTTCTTCCAAATGTTCGAATCGACGCTTCAACTCACGGCAAGACCCACACGGTTCTTCAGTTGTGTGGTCTTGATGATGTTCCATGGAGGAGGAGAGGGACTGGGCTGATGAGGTACCCTCATGTTGAGTGCGAAGACATGCTCTAACCATGTTGAATCCTTATCGTCCGTAAGTTCCTTAAGCTCTCTTCTAATTTCTTTGAATTGAATCTAAATAGTCGACTCTCTAGCTAGAGTAGCTTCCTCCTTTTCTATTTGATCGCATAATTCCTTCATTTGGTCAAGATCATTATATCTAAATCCAGTTTCATACTGCCTCTTGATGATTGCCTTGTAATTCTCTAGGAGTCCATTGAAGAAGCTCTCATTCAGCTTCTGAATATCCATGCTTCGGATTTTGTCGTGTCAGAACACCAAAAAGTTCCCAAGCCTGTTGGAAATTTTCTTGGACCCTTTTTGGAAGGTGGCAATATATTTCTTATGAATAACAGCTAATGTACCAGCAAGGTACCGATACACAAAGTTTTCATGTCTTCACTCCAGGGGGGGGGGGGGTAGCTTGAAATTCCTCGTACGAGACGATCGGAACCCCTTGCAGAGTGTAAGTGAAGAAAATGCCATTAATTTGATCTTGAGTGCACCCCAGTATCCTCACAGCCTTAACATACCTTAAGAAGTAATACATATGATCGAGAGCACTCTTGTCATTCCGTGCAAGTCATTGTTAATAGTTAGCACGTTTCAATAACTACCCCATCCTAGGACAAGTTTAACCTAGAGTTGCTTTGTCATATAGTGGCCACCAAGGTCTTATTCAATCTGGTCCCGGTACCCTAGCCTACTTCCCACGTTGTTGTTATCTAGCTTATCGATTTAAGGGTTTGTGATGGAGGATTCAAGTG